GCAGGGACACCCTCACTGGGATCAGGCTGCTCTGAGCCCCATCCAACCTGGCCTGCAATGATTCCAGGGATGGGGCAGCCACAGCTTCTCTGGGCAACCTGGGCCATGTTTCACCGTCCTCATAAAAACTGCTCCCTCATATCCAGTCTGAATCCACCTTCTCTGAGTTTGAAACCACCATCCCTTGTCTCCTGTCCCTCCATCCCTTGTCCCCAGTCCCTCTCCAGCTCTCCTGGAGCCCCTTTAGGCTCTGGAAGGGGCTCCAAGGTCTCCCTGGAGCCTTCCCTTCTCCAGGTGAGCACCCCCAGCTGTCCCAGCCTGGCTCCAGAGCAGAGGGGCTCCAGCCCTTGGAGCAGCTCTGGGGCCTCCTCTGGACTCGCTCCAGCAGCTCCACGTCCTCCTGCTGTTGGATCCTGGAGCTGGAGGCAGCTCTGCAGGTGGGGTCTCACCCAAAGGGGCAGAATTCCCCCCTCCCTGCTGTGGGATCAGCCCAGGACACAGGGGGGTTTCTGGGATGGGGCAAGTCCAGCCCTTCACCCACCAACACCCCCAGGTCCTTCTCCCAGGGCTGCTCCCGATCCCTTCATGCCCATCCTGGACTGATCCCAGGGGTTGCCCTGACCCAGGATCACATCCCCTCCTTTCTTGCCCAGCCCTTCTGAACAGCCACCACTCCTGGGGTCTCCATCCCTGTCCCCCTTCCCATTCCTGGTGTTCCCATCCTAGTCCTGATGTCCCCATTCCCAGTTCCTGGTGCCTCCAACCTGCTCCCAGTGTCCCCATCCCTGTCCCCATTCCCATTCCTGGGGTTCCTATCCCTGTCCCCATTCCCATTCCTGATTCCCAGAGAGGAATTGCCGGATGCTGGAGGAGGGAACCAGGATTTACTGCCCAAAGCAGGAGATTTTCACACCACAATTAAAGCCTCAGCAATAATTGTGCTCCTGGGTTTCACACATGGAAAAGCAGGAAGTTGATCCATCGGGAAGAGCCACAGGGGGGCCGGGCTGGGTGGGAGCAGCGGGATGAGCTCTGCCAGCAGCTGCTGCCTTTCCACAGGGGCGGATCCAGCTCCAGGATCGCTCAGGCCGTGATTCCTGCTGGGATGAGAGCGGGGAAAGGAGTCCCCATGTCCCTGTTCCCATCCCAGGGGATGGATCTGGCTGGGAAGCCCATGGGGAGCAGCAACTGCTCCGGATTCCCTCCTGATCCTGCTCCGTCCATCCCACCCCAATCCCACTCCAGAATCCAGCCCTGATCCCAGCCCACAATTCCACCTGATCCCACTCTGCAATCCTGCCCTGAGCTGGAATCCTCTTCCAATCCCGCTCCATCCATTATGCCCCGATTCCCCCCTGGAATCCCAGGATCCATCCTGGCATCCCTGCAGGGAGGATCTGGATCCACCCACACTGCTGGTACTCACTGGTGGGTGTGGGGTCGTATCCGTTGCCCTCCCTCTTCCCTATGGAAAGAAAGCAGGATCAGCACCCGTGGCACAGGATCCCCGGAATGCTGCCGGGCGGATCCGGGCCCCTTCCCGACCCCCATCCCGTGAGTTACCGGCTCGGAGCTTCCAGAC